AAGTGTACATTCAGTATTTTTGTGAACTGAAGTTGATGCAAACACTGGAATAAATTCCTTCTGTAATATCTGAGGATGAACGTGGACGATGGTCACATGTTTTCTTGGTTATTTCTTTTCTCTTTGGTCCTAAAATTAACACAAAACACATGAAAGACATAAAAGAGGAAAAGGAAATTAATTTCATTTTCTGAGTTGAGGACAGTAAACTGACACTGAACTTATTAATCCAAGAGAAACTAAAGTGACATAAGTACTTTAACGATGAATAACGACTTTTAGGTGCTTGTCTAATATTTTGTCAGACTTATATTATGTACAAATCTCCAGGTCACCTGCTGTGTGTCGCTTCATAGTATCCGTTCTCCTCCAGCAGCTCCTCTACGATCCCCTGAAAAGGAACATTTGTACAGGAAATCACTTCACGGGTCGCAGACAGACGCTCAATATGACCATGAAGCGGAAATTAAAGATTTCTGCTCCAAAATGAAACACTGGAACCGGCTCAAGAAAACAAATGTGACACCTTGCAGAAGAGCTCATATATAGCGATTATTATATAATAATATATTAAGGAAAATGTTTATTAATTCTTGATTATGTGACTGCAGAGTGTTAGATGAGATTTATATATCTCATATTTCTGTACAGTAAATATGACGCTATAGCAGCCGGCAGTCAGAGAGCTTAGCTTAGCATAAAGAGTGGAAGCAGACACAAACAGCTAGCCCGGCTCTGTGTAAAGGTAGCATAATCGGCTCAGCAGCACCTTTAAAGTTCCCTTATTTACACTTTATATTGCTTGTATAATCCGTACATAAACCGAGGTGTAAAAATGATGAAAACTGTGGTTTTTCAGTTGTGTGTTGGAACTATTTCTTGCAATGACTAACTCAATATTCAACAGACAGATGTGAGATTGGTATTTATCTTTTCATCTAACTAAAACTGAATGAGAGTAATTTTAAACTATTTCTTTAAAGTATCAATAATGGAAAAATGGCACATAAATTAATCATAAATCCAGATGTTACATGATGAACATCTGGTAACTGCTTATTTTTTTTAAGTTTAAAGCAGCTTCTCAGAGGAACTGACCTGCATCTGCTGATAGGTGACTCCCTCTTTGAGGTTCCCGTCACCTGTCAGAAACACAAAATTTAAACAACATCCAGTTGTGAACTTCAAATCACTAAACACCAAAAAAATGCAGCAGACTACATCAACTATTTCCTTTTTGAGTTTGTTTGATCCTGCAGTACTTTGTGTTTGATGTCTTTTACTGGTTGTATCAGGTGAATCTCTTACCCGTGCTGTCAGCAGTATGGGGGTCTCCTGTGAAGTGGTGGACCAGAGGAAACCAGTCTGAACTGGTTGAGCCTAACTCCATCAGTTCTGGAGACGCCTGGAGGAGCTACGGGGGGGGGAAACAGGAAGCAGATTCTCAAAGTTGGGATGGAAGAGAGGGCAACTTTCACCAGTGTAAGATTATGTACCCCAGTTTTCT